TTTTAGGGCACGTACCATGGAGGGGTCCATACTATAGGCCAGGTTTTTCAGTGCCTCAATATTCCTGGTCATCTCCCCCAACTTCTCCAATGTTATTTCTTGGTGCTCTTCCTCTTCCTCATCCTCTTTCCCTTTCGCTTCCTCTTCCTCTTCCTTGCCTGAGTCTACTAACTCCTGTAGATCCTCCTCGGTCAGCTCAGTGTCGTGCTCTTCAATTAGCTCCCTAATTTCGTCCTCTGCCATGTCCTGGAAACCTTCAGCAGCCACTTTCCCTGACAGTGCCAGGGTCTTTCTGAATATTTTCATTAAAATCCATCAAAATCATTTTCCTTGTCATCGTCTTAAGCACCAAACAGCTCCTCCCAGTCTTCTCCTTGAGCAGGGCTAGAGGGTACGTGTTTTTCGAATCGTTTTCAATTAAAAAAATGTTAAGCACATCTATATTTTACCTAAACTGTGCCTGAATGAATATATTCTCAGAAATAAATAGTAGTTTTGCTGAAACGTGATGTATTTCAATGTAAAATAGGATAAAATACATGACGAAAACAAAAGACTTTACCTAACCTTCCGATGTTCAAGAGAAGTTACTCGTTTTTTTAATAGTTTTCGGTTAAAATACAGTTTTATTACAATGATATTCTATTCATACTAAGCTTGATATACTACATTCACGGAAATGTAATATTTTTGCTGAAATGACGTACGTATTACAGTGGAAAGTGGGATAAAATCGTGACGAAAACAATGACGTTCGCTTTCTTTCATTCAAAAGATGTTACCGTAATCGCTTTTCGAATGGTTTTCAGTTAAAAAAACTGTTGCATCACAAGTGAATTAGGATAGAATATTATTGTAATACAACAGTTTTTTAACTGAAAACCATTCGAAAAGCGATTACGGTAACATCTTTTGAACGAAAGAAAGCGAAAGTCATTGCTTTCGTCACTTTCCACTGTAATATGTACGTCATTTCAGCAAAATATTACATTTCCATATTCTCAGAAATAAATACAGTAGTAGTTTTGCTGAAACGTAATGCATTTCACTGCAAATTAGGATAAACTACATGAAAACAAAAGACTTTACCTAACCTTCCGATGTTCAAGATACGTTACTCGTTTTTTTAGTAGTTTTCGGTTAAAATACTGTTATATTTGTGATATTCTATTCATACTGTGCTTGATATAATACATTCACGGAAATGTAATATTTTTGCAACTACAATGCTGATGTCAACACAAGCATGGTTACAGCGAGACTGACTGAGTGAGGGAGAGCTATGCGTGTGTGTGTGAGGTTGCGTGTGTGTGTGAGGTTGCGGGAGCGGGCGGTGTCCCGTGTTCAGTGCCGCGTGTGAGTTGAATGGCGCGTGATTTGAATGTACTTCAATTACTTCAATGTACAGAATATTCCTCCGGCGGGGCAATCCGCGTATTTGCAAATCCGTGTATGCTAAACCTGTGTATGTTAAGGGCCGACTTTACTTAAAACATACATACAGGTATTATTTTTTTTTAAATTAAGTTCACTACAGCTACAACCAGGGTCTTTTCTTCAGTTTCTTATGTAGAACAATCGTCACTCACGAAAACAATGCTGTCTTGTCTCCTCGTGTGTGTTTTAATATTATACATATTATTAATGAATTGAATTGTTCATTTCACATACAGTCAACCCTCGCTTTACGCGGTCCCACTTTACGCGTTTCCACGTTTACGCGGTACCCTGCTGAAACCGGAATGCTCACTTTCCGCGGTGTGTGTACCCTTTTACGCGGAGAGCGGCGCGAGCAGGGTCCGCACAAGGTCGCCCAGTCATCAAAACATTACCGAGTTCTTCACCCGCCACCCACCACAGCCGGCCCAAGTCAGTAATAGTGATAATTATAGTGAGGATATGGACCTTGAGGGGTTTGACAAAGAGGCCCTGCAAGCCTCTGTGGTGGATAGTGATACAATTGATACAAGTGAGGGCCAATAATCTGCCCTCTGCCTCGGAACCAACCCCCCATCCCCGTGTGCCCAGCCATCTTTTCTACTAATGTAAGTGTTAAAAAACCTAATATTATTGATATTTCTCTTAATTTTTAATTGTGTGTGCATACCATCATAAAATTAAGAAGTTATTTTTACTACAACGTAGGTATTGTGTCTGAAAAAGTGGAGTTTGGGGGTCGGCCCAGTCTCTATTTCAATTAATCCCATATGTTATGTTGTTCACTTTATGCGTTTCTCACTTTACACGGGCCGCCGTGGGTTGAATTAACCGCGTAAAGTGAGGGTTCACTGTATATAAACATTAATTTAATCAAATGCATATTCAGTAATAAACAATAATGAATCTTTTGTACATATTCTTAAGATAAATTACTATGTTTACTTGAGTTCGCACATATACATTGGCGTTCCACTATCAATCTCACTTTTTCTTTAATATCTGTGGTTACTTCTACTGTATATTAAATAACATTAATTAAGACAAATCTTTTTTACATTAATTTTACTACAACAACAACCAGGGTCTTATTTTCTTCAGTTTCAGGTGGATAACTGACATTATGGGGTCTGTCTGTCTGTCTGTCTGTCTGTCTGTATAAGTCCGAATGGTCGTAAGTCCGACAGATAAAAAAAAAAAAAAAAAATTAAATAAAAAATCTACAATGAAATACAGTACAGTAAAAGTAATAAATAATGAGGAATGTATACAGTACAGTGAAAGTAATAAATAATGAGGAATGGATACAATGTGACTGAGCACTTACCTTTAATGTAGTCAGCTGAATGCACATGGGGCCCCCATAATTTTCTAATTATACATGGAGACTACATTAACTGGAAACGTTTCGGTATTGAAAATGCGTGTGTCATTTGGAAAAAAAAAAATTGAAAAAAAAAATGGTCACAACTGCGGCGGTCGTAAGTCGGGGTCTAGCTGTGTGTATATATATATATATATATATATATATATATATATATATATATATATATATATATATATATATATATATATATATATATATATATATATATATATAGTATATATATATATATATATATATATATATATATATATATATATATATATATATATATATATATATATATATATATATATATATATATATATATATATATATATATATATATATATATATATATATATATATATATATATATATATATATATATATAACAAGCATCCAGTGAGGGTCTTGTTGTGTTGTGTGACTGCATGGAGGTGAATTAAAAGATCAGCTGTTGAGGAGCTTATTGCTTTTCAACACTGGTGCATGTTACCACTCCTCTCCATTCCTTATATCTAATTACCCACATCTTTCTGTTTGTTCTGTTTTCTCTCTCCATATTTTAAAATGTTATGTAATGTAATGTTGAAGGGATACAACTTTGCTCATGTATACTTACACTTACCACAATCTCCCTAAAAATACTTTAGCTTTTGTGTTTATTCAAGACATCTTCAGGTCATGAGACCCACTAATCCCCCTCCCAAGAAAGGGTGACCTGACATTCCATCAGGTCAGTTATATGAGACCATTAATCCCTCACCCTACCTCCACCTGACATTGAGTCAGGCTAGGTCAGGTCAGGTCCCCCCCAAAAATATTTTAACTTCCATCTTTATTCAAGACATTTTCAGAAAATTCTCTGGATTTTCAACCTATCTAAAAAAAATTCCTAAAGCCGGAAATTTTTGGAAAATTCCGGCTTTGGGAATGATTTTCCGAGCAAATTTCAATTCCGGGTATCGGATATTTCCGGGTTTGAGGGATTCCGGCAAACGAAGATATTACTGTACAGTGAGTTCTGCTATAACGCGTGTTTTGATAACGCGAATTTGCTCTAACGCGATTTATGAATTCGGAACAATATTTGTATAACGCGATCGCTTGTTTGCTATAACGCGATTTTTGCTTACTATTTCTCCAATTTTGTGGTATTAACTGTGAATATGGTAAAGAAGAATATCTCCAAAAAGCATTCTGATGATAGAATTCCCGGTGATTATCGTAAAAGAAAGGATATAACACTTGAAGAGAAGCTTGATGTTATCAACCTCAAAATCACCCTTCTCCCCCATCAAGTTACATTCATATTTTTTCAAGGTAAAGTGTTAAATTTACTGTATGATTTCATTATTAGATATGAATGTAACATTTATTTAGACTGTGCTATCCTTTGTGTTAGGCTAACTACTAAATTTTTTCGATTTCGAGTAATCTGCACCTAACCCTATTTTCTCCATAAGCCCTGTTATTTCTATTACGCGATTTTCTATAACACGATATTTTACAAGAACACAATTATCGCGTTATAGCAGAACTACCTGTACAGGCATCCCCCAGTTTACGGAAGGTATGTGTCTTTGAAAATTGGTCCATAACGTGAAATTCTGTAATGCGAAACCAATTTTTCCAAAGACTTCCATTATATAATTGGAGATGCATTCCCAAGGAAATATTTTTGGCAAAAAGACATAATACAAGCACATTTATGAATGAAAATATTTATTTTTTTAACACATTCATTGATTATTTTATTATATACAGCATTATGATAATAAATATACAAAACACTTGAATATAACTTAACACAAACAATTTTGAGTGCTGCGTTAGGTGAGGTGATGAGGGAGGGTGGTGCAATCGGAGTTACTGGGAGGGAGACGGAGGGGCACTACTGGCTCCTGCCTGTACAGTATTGTACCAACCACCAAGAAATCCACGCGAAGTAAATTTTAAAGTTTCTGTGAATTTTTTTCTAATAGTCCTGTAGTATTGAAAAAAAAATTAACTTAAAAATTTACCCAATTTCCGTAAGGGTGAATTTTTTGTCCGTATCCCGAATTTATTGGTAATAATTTACAATGTCCGTGAGAGCGAATTTCCGTAACCTGGGAGATGCCTGTATGTATATATATAATATAGATTTGATGTATAGAATACTTTATACAGCCTCACAATGATTGTATTCTTCCAGGGTGACCTTCGGAGAATGTGGAGTGAACCATTCATCATTCAGACACAGAGCAAGAACTTGGAAGTGTGACTCAGGGTGATGCTTAGAGTGTAGCCATAAGTGTGGTTAGTGTGTATTCTTAGTACAGTACTGAGATGTGCGAGTCTTAGCAGCAATCCAAGCTTCTGGAGTCTTGGCTGTGCAGTTTGCATTCTAGTGATGAGTGACAAGAAGAGTATTATATGTTAAAATGGGTTATTCCATTGCTTTTGTGAAGAAACAATTCCAGACATCCACTGTATATATATATAGATAGTAGTTTAGTGTTGAAATAATAGGAAAGAAGAAAAAAATTAATGAATGATTGATGAAAAATAAAAGAGTACTTCCATGCCTTTAAAACACAGTGGTGTTGTGTTTTTATGTGTACAATACTTAAAAAATGTTTTGAGTGGCATCATGCAGCTACGTGAGAACCTGTTCACGTCTTAGCAGGTTTTATATTATGTAAGTCATATATTTCTATTCCTTATTCCCCTCTAATTGTAGAAAATATATTTTTTTTCTTTTACTCATTGTTCTGAGGGGCCGTAGACAAGCTGGCTCTCCTCTGCTGACACAGTGAGGACTTGGTAACAAGCTTTCTGTAGGTCGTAGTTGCTTGCCTTAAGTGTAAGCGCACAATCACAAAGTCCTATGAGACTTAGTTCCCATCTGCCGTCTAGTGGTCAAAACTTGTGTGCTGGTGCTGTATGTCATCCAGTGGTGAGAAATACTTCACTGATGACACATGCCATCAAGAGTCAGAAGTATTACACTGATGCCATATTCCATCCAGTGGTGAGAAGTACCATACTACGTTAATACCGTATGTCATCTAGTGGTCAGAAATGTAATTCTGGTGCCATCTGTTGTTTAGTAATCAGAACTTGACACCGTGTCTTGTATCTTGTCCAATGGTCAGAGGTGCAGTGCTGTTATCATCTATAGTAGTCATATTCATAACTACAATATTGGAACTTTCATGTTATTGTCATTAGATCAAAGTTGGTGGCCCTATAATAATGACCTCAGTGTTAGTTTTATTTTTCACTTAATGGCTGTAACTGCAGGGTCATGTAATAGTTACATTGGTGCCATGAGTGGTGGTCAGCGGCAACACTAGAGCAGCGTGAGGACTGTAGTTTGTAGTGTGTAGTGTCTCCAGATAGTGTACATAGATAGCCCTTGTACAGAAGAACAACAGAGATGATTGAACTATCACGTCATTGTGCGATACTTCCGGCAGCTGAGTTATCAATCTTGTTTTCCACGCACACTCACTCAGGCTGAGTGGTGGTATGTGAGATTGTGTTCCTATGTTACTGTGGAATCTACAAAAAACAAAAAAAATTAAAAACTTTATACCGGTATACTTAATGGGAGCAAATGATGCAAGTGAAGGGATAGTGTGTGTGTGTGTGTCTATATGTGTGTTAATTCATGATACCTGCAGCATGACGGCAAAAGCATACTGAAGTGAAAAAAAAGAATCCTGATTTTTTTTCAGTTGTGTTCCAAAGTTCAGTGTTCAAATAACACCAGTGGTAAATGTTCTGTGGATAATCAATAGAACACAATTTATCATCATAACTACCACTTATCACCTTACTAAGTCATCAAGGTAGGAATTGTGAGTTTAAGCAAGTGATTTCTGTCTCTTGTTTAAACTAAAAATTTCCAGTTTTGGAAGTCTTAAATTACGACACAAATCATCAGAAGTGTAACTGGATTTTTTTTTTTAGAGCAGTTTGTTATATTTTAAATATTTCAGGTCATTATATAGTTGTGCTGTGGCATTATCTTTGGTAATGCTCAATTTGTTACTACATTTAAGTAAACTTTATCGAGAGTTGATAAGTTATATATACTGTACTATGTATTACAGTATATTAAAGAGAACAGATTAGAAGAGGGAATAAAATTATTACTCAGAACAACAAGGTTCATATTCTGCCAACAAAATTCCATTTATTAATTATATTTGACCCTGGGGACTGGATAGACACATTTGGTGCTTAAAATAGCTACTTGAAATTATATGGATAAAAGGTTGGTGTTTACCTCAAAGGCTGTTACTGTTGTGCAAACTAAAGTGGAAATATATTGAGAGTATGTGAACACCTTTTAGGCAATTAATTATCTGATGTTATGACATACCATTTAAAATTATTTATTATAATGGTTCTTTTGAATAGAAATGATTTTTATTTATTTTTTTACCCCATGTTCTGGCAAACCAATTGATTGGATGGGAGGACACAGCGAGTAGTCTGCTTCTGTGTAGATACAACTGTAGTTTTCTATAGATACAACTGTAGTCTGTCTCTAGATACAACAGTAGTCTGTCTCCAGATATGGCTGTAGCCTTGTCTCTAGATACAACTGTAGTCTGTCTCTAGATGCAGCTATAGTCTGTCTCTAGATACAACTGTAATCTGTCTCTAGATGCAACTGTAGTCGTCTCTGGATGCAACTGTAGTCTCTCTAGATGCAGTTATAGTCTGTCTCTAGATACAACTGTAGTCTGTCTCTAGATACAACTGTAGTCTGTCTCTAGATACAACTGTAGTCTCTCTAGATGCAGCTATAGTCTGTCTCTAGATACAACTGTAGTCTGCCTCTAGATGCAACTGTAGTCGTCTCTGGATGCAACTGTAGTCTCTCTAGATGCAGTTATAGTCTGTCTCTAGATACAACTGTAGTCTGTCTCTAGATACAACTGTAGTCTCTCTAGATGCAGCTATAGTCTGTCTCTAGATACAACTGTAATCTGTCTCTAGATGCAACTGTAGTCTCTCTAGATGCAGTTATAGTCTGTCTCTAGATACAACTGTAGTCTGTCTCTAGATACAACTGTAGTCTGTCTCTAGATACAACTGTAGTCTGTCTCTAGATGCAACTGTAGTCTCTCTAGATGCAGCTATAGTCTGTCTCTAGATACAACTGTAGTCTGTCTCTAGATACAACTGTAGTCTGTCTCTAGATACAACTGTAGTCTCTCTAGATGCAGCTATAGTCTGTCTCTAGATACAACTGTACTCCACTTTAGCACATTATACAGAATCTATATATAGCCAGGATGGAACATTAGCCCATGCAGTTCTTTGGTTCTCAGTTTTGTGAAGCAAATAAAACAAATACTGAGCAGTCGCAAGACATTGACAGCCTCATGAAGATGTACAAAAGGGTAAGATTTATAAAGTGTGGAAGAGTATTGATGGAGTAGCCTGCTGTTGTTGTTGAAAACATGTACTTTACTTGTGTTTGTTTATTGTATGATTTTATTCATGAACAGTGGTTTAGAAATACTCTTATTTAGAGGTTTTTGGATGATTCCTCTCCAGTTGTGAGTTGCTGAATTATGGCACAACAACAACAACAACAACATCGCTCTATGATTTACTGATATGATAAACAGTGTGTTTTTTTTTGTATTATGAATACTCATAATAGTACATGTATTTAGTACTGTACTTGTTTTGACTCAATTTGAAAAAGATGGCTTCTTCTGTAATATTTCTCCTATTTTCCCTACAAATTGTTAGTACAGTACTAAATTTTGAAAGAGTGAATTGTCACTATCAAAAGATCACAAATGCAGAATGCCAATCACTCATTACCATATTTTTCTATTGTATCCCAGAATAACAGGTTAGCTGATGATGCTGTTGAAAATACTGTAGTTAACCTCTCTTTTTCACCACAAACCAAAACTGCATCAGTTTGCAGTAAAGAAGAGATTAAGAGATGATTCACTCATGTTGATATTTATATGATAGCTCGCCTTGTTGAGGAAAGCCAAGGTGTCACTCAAATGAACAACAGGGAATAAGTACCGCTAATATGCTGTTAGTGGGACTGGCACTAACCCAGAGTATGTTTGCATTAATCCTCTGAATTTCTTTGCAGTGTCTTTTGGTAATATAATCTTTTAATCAAGAGCTAAGATTAGTTGACAAATATGATCAGTATTAATTATTCTGAATATGAAAAAAAACAAAGGAATTGTTCAATTAATATCCTGTATTTGTTTTAGTTTATTGTTTGGTGTGTAAATTGGTTTAACTCCTCCCAAGTGACATTCCTGGATAACTAATGCAGTAATCTTCCCGTTAGCCGGAATCCTTTATCCCCAGAACTCTCCAATAGCCTGAATGGAAATTGGGCCAGAAAATATTGTGGGGGTCTATGAACGAGTTTTGAAAGATGAACATCAGGCGCATTTTCCGGGAAATTTACAAGAAGGTTCTGAGAAAATCTCGCCAGACTTCTCCGTTCTGGGCATGGGAATAAGTTTTGGGGGAATTCTGAGAGATTGCATCACGTTACACCGCGTCCCCACATGCCACGTGTGTGGGCGGTTTAGCTACTTGGACTGCTTAGTTCTTATTCTGCTGCTATTGTAAAAGGTGTTCCCTCACTAGCTGCTGTATTTTTGTACAATGTGTTGTGCAATACTGTACCAGGACACAATCAGCCAAGAATGCAAAATTAAAGCATTGTTAGAATGTAAAAGGTGATTACAGTTACATGTACAGTAGTACCCCAATTTACGAGGTCAATTGAACCCACAGGGTACTGCGAAAGTGAAAACCGCGTAAAGTGAACAACAGAACATATGGGATTAATTCCAATAGAGACTGGCCCGACCCCCAAACTCCACTTTTTCTGACACAATGCCTATGCTGTAGTAAAAATAACATCTTAATTTTATGATGGTATGCACACACAATTAATATTTCAGAGAAATACAGTCGCCAGGTTAATGTCCATTCAAATAGTGGACTCGACCCCACCCTCTTCCCAGCTCACTGGCTCCTACCTCTCTGAGAAATGTTTGGGTGAAAACACTTGATTTTAAGGCATAGTAATAAATAAAACCTCAGACTAAAGTTAGGATAATATAATTGACATTTCTGGATTCCTTGCAGGTCAGGGAATATTTTGAATGTAAACTTCATATATTTTGCACAAAAGATAAAATATTTTCTTTGTGTAAACCAAATTATTACATTAGATCTAAAATTTGTATGTGTAATGCAAAATCCATGATGTTTATATTCAAAATGATCATCATATTGTAAGAATTCCAGCAATGTAAATTATATTCTGGCCGGGTAATTTGTATGAACTTTATGAGCTAAAATATCTTCAGTAAATAAACAAAAAATATTCTTCAAGGACACTATCTGTCAATCAAAATACCCCACCTCCGCCCTAGCTGGGTCGGTCCTTCCCTACCAGAGAAATGTTTGGGAGAAAACAGTATATTTACATTTTTAGTAATAAATATTAACTCAGACTAAAGTTAGGATAATATAATTGACATTTCTGAATTCCTTGCAGGTCAGGGAATATTTTGAATGTAAACTTCATATATTTTGCACAAACGATAAAATATTTGCTTTGTGTAAACCACATTATTACATTAGATCTAAAATTTGTATGTCTAATACAAGATCCATGATGTTTATATTCAAAATGATCATCATATTGTAAGAATTCCAGCAATGTAAATTATATTCTGGCCGAGTAATTTGTATGAATTTTATGAGCTAAATAAAAAATTATACTTCACCCGCGTATATGAGTAGATGCACCGCGGAAAGTGAAAGTCTGTTCTGGCGAGGTACCGCGTAAATGAGAAATCGCGGAAAGTGAAACCGCTTAAAGCTGGGTAATACTGTACTATAATTGGGAAACACTGGAGCACCTTAGCTTTCAGCTTTATTCAAGACATCTTCAACCCATGAGACCCATTAATCCCCCACCCCACCGCCACTGCAGATGAGAGAAGAGTTTATAGACAATGGGTGACCTGACATTGCATCAGGTCAGGTCACTAACATGAGACCCTCTAATCCCCCACCCCATTTCCATCGCAATTGTTAAGACATAAAAAGTGATTACAATTATGTATTACATTCAGCAGAGTGTATGCCTATTTTAGGCTCAAGACTACAGCATCTACTGGTGAATACAGTATACATACTGTATAGTAGTAGTATACATCATTTTGTTTATTTACATTATATTATATGCATACAGAGGTGTTTACGTAAATAAATACGGCTCCGTGCGATATGCATAGTTTAGACTAAGGAAAACTTTCCTCAGTACTGAGTGGAAAATTCCACTGTCTTGGCTGTGACACGCAACTCCATTCATGCCTTACAGGCCTGTATCATATAGGTGTTTTTGTTTTTTTAGAATATATTTATTTAACCAAATTTTTTGATAAACTCAGGATTATAAAAAAAAAAGGTATTTCTAACTTAATTAGAATGACTTTACTGACCCTGGTATCAACATTTTTTTATTTTTATTTTTTATTTTTTAAATGGAGTCCCCATCATTTATCAGGTTGAAATATTTTGTTTAAGGATCTTTTGTTGGAGCAGTCCTGTAGAAAATTTATTCGGGATCATTAGGCACCAATTTCATCTCTCTGACACTATTAGAACATATGCTGTGAATTAAAGTTCATACACTTTTTCGTGAGTCGTAAATATTTTTGCTCATACCCGTGGTGTAAATGTAAAGGGATACTGTTTGTCCTGGGAGAAGAGATGATGCGATGCACAGTTTAGAGTTGAAATGAAATGCTTAATTTATTCTCTCAGAAAACTTTCCCCAGCATCCAGAAACATTCCAGGGATGTGCGATAGTATCTGTCTGTGCAAGATGCGTAGTTTACACACACAAACTTTTCCCAGTACCTGAAAAAATTCCGGAGATATAGGGATTTTTTTCCAGGTTTGAGAGTCATCTTTTTACCCGGAAATCTCTCATCCCCATAAGAGCTCTGCACCAATTGTTCTGGCTAATGGGCACATCACTGTATAGTTTCAGTTAAAAAGCTGAATTGATAACAAGTACTCAAGTCCTTTACAGTATTTTATTTTATAATGTCTAGGTTATGCAGTACAGTAACTCACTTCTCAAGCTGACCAGGTAACCATACCTTTCGTATATTAATTATGTAAAAGTTTTTGAAAAGTTCAGGTAGAATAAAGATATTTGTTATTACATTACAAAGAGTATGAAGTTTTTAAGTTTTAATTTATTCCAAAATTTATTTAGAAAATATTGTAGGGTAATCACATTGCAAGAATATGCTAATTGTATACTTATTGTAATAGATGTAGTACAGTACAGTAATTGAATTTCAATTTGTAGTGTGTTATGCTAGTCTGCAAAGGGAACTACAGTCAGGAAAGTGTTCAGCAGTCTCTTTCAGCCCACTGGATAGTTACTGTGTAGTGCTACCAAAGGTCTGACAAAAATTTTGACACCCATTTTCCTTGTGCACTTGTTGCTCTCAAAGATACTTAGCAGTTGAACTATCTACTGAGCTCTGCCATCATATGGTAACTTTACCAGCCATTACAGCTCGTACAAATTGATTGATTTCTGGTTGTTAATTAAACCGTACTGCTGGTTAATTTGCCATTGTGGAGACACGACTAACTCAGCAACCAGGAACCAGTCAGCTTCTGTGAATTGGAATGATTACTGAGGACACTAGATATGGGCTGAGCTAAGTTGATATCTCAGTTAGAGGTGTGTGTCTGCCCATGAGCAAGAAATGCAATCAGAATACTGTATATTATTTTTCAGTACTTGGTAGTGCTGTATCATAAGTGGACTCATCATTGTATTGAGTTTTACCTTCTGAATATGATCCTTCGTTGTGTAATGAATCTCACATGTCATGGTATAGTAACATTAATGTAACACGTCATTATGTACACCTCTCACACTGACGCTCATACTCATTCAATTTAAAAACTGATCATCTCTTTTTAGTCTTTTACGTGGAATAAATCTTTACTTTAATTTTGTGTTAATATTCCTTATACATTAAGAAAGTGAAGTATGAAGAATAAATGTTATTCATGGAAAAAGAATAAATTCTAATAAAGACTTTCTTTAGTTTGGAAAAAGGTTTTTTTTTAATTGATCACAAAAATGTAGGTAATCCCTTCTGATTTTGTTTTTAAGTTTTTATAGTGGAATGATGAATGAGAATGAAATATTGTACTCTAAATATTTTTATAACAAATCAATTTACATCAAGGATATACAGTACAGGCAGTACCAAAATTATGACCGTCCGACATACAATCACTTGCACGTACAAACGGGATCCCAATATATTCATTGCAAAAATTTGTAATTAATATCACATTTTTTTACATTAGTGTTTTCATATTCATTTTTGTTTAACGTCACTTGATTTACAGTATTTACATTATTTTTTATGTATGTGATGTTATTGTTTTGGATGGGCAGGGTTGTGCTTTAACCTAACCTAAACTGTGGAATTAAAACTGCTCTGACTTATGAATAAATTGACTTACAATCAGGGTCCAGGAACGTATCCCTGTCGTAAGTCAGGGTTTGCCTACGAAATAAGCTGAAAACATTTTCTTTGAAACTTCAAGGCTGAAGGCAAAATCTTTTTTCTTAGTATAGTATGTTTTGTTTCATTGAGAAACAATTGTTCTTGGGAAAAATTATCCCAATACTTCATTATTGTATTTATTTATTGAAATATTTTTGGGAAGAGAATTAACCATTTTGCTGTATATGTTCATTAGAACCTGATTAATTTATGTCAAATTTATTTTCTTTATGACTGGATTTATTGAGTTTTGTTTTAATTTAAAGGTGTGTATTTCTTACATTCCCTCAGTTGTTGTATAAAAGGTTATTATGTGTGGATCACAGCAGCTATAATATACAATATGAGAGACACACATTTGTAAAGTACTGTACAGTATAACAGAATGAAAAGATCAGCTTACTTTGTAGCTTATACACTCCAAGTGGCTTTGTTACTGTGCACACCTATAATGGAGGGAAGGTCCATCCTTCCTCATCCCTTTTGGCAACTGGGGGCTGATAAGAATAATTATTACCTGATAAAAAGAAGAGCTATAATACATTATATACAGTATTCATTTTTTGAAGTGGAGGTGGTTTGTGGCTACTTCATTACTGTGTTTGTGAAACAAGGTGAAACCTAAACCAATTAGTACCTACTTTATATTGCATTTGAGTTTCCTGTTATGAAATGTCTGACGATATACAGAAACTGAAGTTGTTGGCCATTGTTTACTCAGTTAATGTAAATAAGTCAAAATATAGACACTGTATGAAGTGTCCTCTTACAGATTGGCAACATTTATATCCTTAAGCAGTAATCAATTTATGACTTTCATTTAAAGGAAGATGAGTTATTCTTTTTTGTGTGGACACTGGATAAAATAAGGCTTGAAGCGAGTTGGCAACATTCTCTTGAAGGTGTCTTTCATGTCAATCTGAAACTGATAGCTACGCATGTTGTAGATCCATGGGTTCCATGCATGTCCTGCTAGGAATAACCACCAAGATATATATGAATAAAGATTCCACCAATAGAAGTCATATTTAATGACATTGAAAAAGACATTGATGCTCAGTGGGAAGACTGACACAGAGAACAGAAAAGTTATAAGTACCATTGTGATCATAATGCAACGATTCTCTTTGTGTATGGAATCTGAAACTCTCAAATGAAGATTTTTCCACTCTGCCATTACTCTTCTCTGTTCAAGAGTAAAATTTTTTATTGATAGACATGATAATATCCATGTAAATACAACTACTAAAGCCAGAAGTGTCAGATACACGTAATAAGTCGTGTAGAGTTCCATGGAGGATCTTTTTCTTTCTGTAACACCAATGGGAAGTTTGGTTATGGTTGACCATGTTGCGCTAAACTTACCATTGCCTTCATACATTAAAAAGAAAGTCTGAATGAAGCCAAAACTCCATGTAAAGATGATTGCAAGCTTTATTCGAAAAACTGAGAAATAAGAATAATATTGGAGGCTTAGTGTGGTCATGATGTACCTCTCTACACTTAGCAGCAAGAGAGTGAATATGGAGACCTGTGAGCACAAACTCATTGTAAAGGCCTGAAATAATCGATACCCACTGTCCACTACGTATATGATGTAACTATTAACTTCAATATTTTCAACCTTGTACTGGTTCAGACTTGTACTTATATTGCTGGATAAATCATCTAAATCTGAATACTCTTGCCAGGAATATTCGTCTGATAATAAAGTTCCTCTAATTAAAGAGACTTGGTAAGTTACTGATGGGACCACAACAAAGACACCAATACAAAGATCAGCAAAAGCCAGAGAGGTCCTGAGCATGCTAGACTCCTGACCTTTGTGTTCACTATTGAGCATTACTACCAACACTATGAGATTCCCCACCACCCCAAACACCCCAATACATCCAGTAACTGATACTAGAAGCAATTCACTTACACGGCAAGTTAGTGGCAAGAAATCCCAGTTGCTGTTCACACCATGATCTTCTGGTATACCCAACCAAAGGATGAAATACTGTGAATAACAACAGGGAAAGTGAATGTTTGCCATCCAATATCTAGTATCATTGATGTGATTCAGGTTTGAGTCTGTGTTGAATAAATAAAAACATGACTTTCCATCCATCTGTAAGTTCATAAGTCGAAAGAACACTCCTCGCACGTTTGAATCAATAACTTGGAAAGTTCCATCACAAAAATAATTGAAGCAGACTTCATCTTTCTCCATTAAAGAGCTGACCAAAAGAGAGATGAAAAACTTGTCCAAAACTGAAGGTTTTTGACACGTCTGAAAATGGAAGAAAACGGCACCTTCCTCCAGGCATATGGTCATATATTGTCTTTCCTCACACTGATTGAATCTCTGAAATAAAGGTAAGCAAAATGCAATGAAACTCTCATCAACAAATACTTTCACCCAGGTATCATTTTTCAAGTTAAACCATGAGTAGAGGGGATACCTTTCATAAATACTAATATAAAGGGTGCTACACAATGTTAGTGTAGACTCGACTTGTAGAATACTGATGTCTTCTGCACAGGAATCGTCAGGATGACTCAAAAACTGTGGGGAGAATTTAGTTGGGGGATGATGACACAAGTTCATATATGCATGATCTGGAGAGGAAGATAAAGAATCACTCTCAGTATATACATCTTCATTAGTATCCCTGTGCTGAGAATCTTGCTCATATATGGGATCCTCCTGTATAACATCGTACTTCACTCGGTCCTTCAGCTCATCAGTGACAAGACTAATTTCACTTAAAGTTTTTAATGTTGTAATGCTGTTTTGTTTTTGTTGTACTAAATATGGAATTTTGCCACTAAGGATATTTGCTGTACTATATTTAGTATTCACTTTCCTCTGACCTCCGGGAGTCTTAAATTTTGTATCTTTAGTTGATATTATTTCCTTTTGTGGTTGGTGGATTCTAGAAGAACCGTGAGAATGCTTGGGCAGGAAATTCTGGTAATTTAGATTCAAGAAGTTCTCTGAAGAATCTCTTATTCTTAAAACTATTTCTTCTGAATCTTGCAAAACCATTTGGTGACCATGAGAAGTGGTGAACACCAGCAGCAACATCAGCAGTGATGCACAACTTGGCCATATTTGTATTTTGGCCATCATCATCAACTGTAAAAATAGAAAAAAAATTTTATACAGTACAGGTATCCCCCAATTTACGATCTCCCTATCTACTAAAATATTTTGCTTGAACGATGGTGATGTATTAAGACCACATCCCTATTTACGATAAAAAAAATTAGCATGAATGGTGGTCATCATCCGGCCAATGTGGAATATGGAACACATCTCTCACTGCACTGTCAGTTGTAGTCTACCCACGTGCTGCCATGCTTTGTTGTTGTGAACATGGTGTGAGCAGTGTCAGCTGTAATAACATTATTATCGTTGGCTCTGTTTATGAGACTGTGAAGTGGCCAGTGTAACTTTGAAAACGTCAGGGAGAGCCAAGACATCCAAGAAAATTAGGTCTGGAGGTAAAACTTGACATTGTGAAGCTTTGTGGGAGTCAGAGTGACATCACCACTCCACCTTCGAGTCCCCTTAGCCCCGATGGGGACATGTAATGATGACCAGGCTTGTTCTTAATGATGTGGTGAGTGTTGTTTAATTGTTTTTTGTCTTAGTATTATAGGAAATTTATTTTCGGTGATACATGTGGGTATTCAAATTACAGCTACCATCAATTCTCTGGAGTTAAAAGACAACCATCCTTGTGTTATGTTAAAAGTTATAAAAAAATGTTTACCTGTATTATGTATTGGTGTGATAAAGTGATCATCCAGCTAGTTATAATATACAGTACAGGGTATTCAGAAAAAAATAATAATAAGTGATAAAATGTTCTATGATATAAATTTGAATCAACTTTTTAAACTGTATCCTTTTTGGCTGTTTACAAAACCATCACATGAAACTTTATATTATATACACAGGTAGTAAACTTACCCTTAAGATATAAAAACTAATGTTAATTATGGATATTCCTGTTAGTTAAGTCTGTATCTGCAGTTTAGGGCCAAGCTTTCTTCCTTATCGCCACCCAGGAATAAATCCACAAGCATGTTTTCTCATGTTTATATTTAACACAATACAAAGCAAGACTTGTAAGAGCTAACAGTTCACTGTCAAAGTCTTCAAAGACATCCATCTTGTTATTGATTTGGGTTGGCTCCAGCCACTCCACTGCAGTTCCAGTGGCAACAGTACTCCCGTGCCCGTGTGAAGTGTGAACTCACTTCTTAAGAATTGCAGGTAAGAAATCTCAGAAATTCAAGAGATGGCTCAGATGGGTCAAGACAAATGATGAGCAGGACAGAAGGATGTATGCGAGGTCCAGGAATCAAGCAAAGCTAGAGGTAGAAGGGCTGAAAAAGAGTTCCAGAGGCAGATTGCAAGCGAGGTCAAGTCAAACCCGAATGCCTTCTACCATTACGCAAGTCTCAGTTAAAGACACTGGTGGGAGTATCAGATCTGAGACTTAAAGATGGTATTTATACAGCGAAGGCATTAAACAAATTCTTTTCCTCTGTCTTTACAAAAGAGGATGCGAACAATTTTCCTGCGTTTCAGGAAAGATAGTTTGCCACAACACTGACGCACATTATGTTCTCAGAGGAGTGTAATAAGAATTTGTTTTCAAATTTAAAGGTTCATAAGAGCTCTGGCCCTGATAGTATGCATTCCAGAGTGCTGAGTTGTACAATGAGCTTGTCGAGCCCCTAAAATCTTGCACTGTGCTGCAGATGCATGGACGAGCAAAAGATCCCCAGCAACTGAAAATTGATTTATATGAGTCCTATTTTCAAACAGAGATTGCCAATCAACATATAACTATAGGCTGGTGTATCTTGACCTATATAGTGTGTCAAATACTACAGAGGATCGAGATACTTCGATGGAACATCTACTATAAAACCACCTAGTAAAGGACTGCCAGCATGGTTTTATGCCAGGATGCTCCTGCTTGATACAATTGCTTAAAGTGCTGGATGTGTGGACCCAGATCCTGGAACATGTTGTCAATATTGACAATAAATATCAGAACTTTGCCAAGGCTTTCAACAGCACTACCCCATGAGAGATTGAAAGTTTTACTTTTAAGGATACAGAATTCGGGGACTGTCCTAGAGTGGATCAGAGACTCTCCATGACTGCAAGTAGTGTCTGGTGATCAATAGCATGAAATTGTCATGTGTACCTGTGACACACTACAGGGCAGAGTACTTGGCCCATTTTAGTTTATTTGTTTCATAAATGACATGCTAGAAGATATACATTCCTCCATACAAATGTTTGCAGATGATGCCAAATTATAATTATTCAGGGAAATTAAAAACCAAATGGACTGTGAAGAGCTACAGAAAGATATCTCTCGGCTTCAGGATGGCCATGGAAAGGCTGTTAAGATTCATCGTCACGAATTGCAAGACGATGCACCAAGGTCGTACCAACAGTAAAGCGGCATATCACATGTCCCAACAGGATAAAGAAACAGCATTAACAGAGACCAAATGTGTAAAGGACCTGGGTGTGTATGCTGACAACGAACTGTAGCTTTCTGGCCATTGCGAGAAATGTGAACCAATCAGCTAAGCTAGTGGGTCTTATAAGAAGGTCGTTCAGATATCTACAGTAGGTGTTCTGTCCCATGTAACAATTTTCAAGAGTGAGGGGGCTTCCCTTTTTTGGAGTACTGTCACCCCGTCTGGTCCTCGAGATATGCTAGAGACTGCTATAATTGACTGAAATTATCCAAAGGAGGGCCACCAGACTGGCGCCTGTGCTATGGCACCTCAGTTACCCAGACAGATTAGAATGCTTGCAACTGCCTAGCTTATACTTTACTTTTACTTCAACTTTTATCCTCTTCACCATGGATAGGCTCGTTAGCCGCTTGGGCGGTCGGTCATATCTGTTATGCATTTTTGGCAAGTACTGAACATGCACTGGCTCCTGAATGTATCTGAAATTGTTCCAGTGCTGTTCAAGTCTGGTCTTGAATGAGCTCACACTCAGTGCCGTCACCACACTCTCTGGCAGATTGTTCCAAGAGTTCACAACTCTCACTCCGAAAAAGTTACCCCTCACAGTTATCCGGACTTGCGGCTTCTTTAACCTTGAGCTGTGTCCCCTTGTGGGGCGAGCGTCCACCAGCTCCAGGTAAGGACACTTGACTGAGTAGTGTTCTCTGAGATGCTTGTACACCTCAATCAGATCTCCCAGTGCCCGTCTGTAGTATAAGCTAGGCAAGTTCAGGCGCTCCAATCTCTCCGGGTAGCTCAGGTGCCGCAGTGCAGGCACCAATCTGGTGGCCTTCCTTTGGACATTTTTAATCAGCTGATAGTCCCTAGCATATCTCGGTGACCAGACAGGATGACAGTTCTCCAGGCGGGGAAGCACTTCACTCTTGAAGATTGTTACGAGGGACGGACCATCTAGATATCTGAACGACCTTCTTATAAGACCTAATAACTTATTTGCCTGATTTACCTTCTTCTCGCATTGGCCCGAGAACTTCAGTTCATTATCAACATACACACCTATGTCCTTTTCACATTCCGTCTCATTTAATGCAGTCAGTGGTGTAGTGCTGTGGGAACGCGTGGGAATGTCGTTCCCTTACTTTGTTTGGGAGTGGGAACGGCGTTCCCTCACTATTTGAAATAAATCCAAGTGTACAATTCTCTAATGTAATGAAATTTTTTAGTTCCACCCATAAAGAAATATGAGAAAGAATCATTAACTGTTTCAATTCTTTTTGCTTCAACTGAGGTAATGCTAGCCTATAAACTTTGAGGCATTGTGATTTTGCGACATCGTCGCATTACTTAATTATAAAAAAATCATAAAAATAATAGCCGCTCCCTCCCATTTCTTACAGGCCGGCGGCTGCTCCCCTCACTTGGATATTAGTGTTCTTGGTTGCCAAATACCTTAAATTTGGTAAAAAATAAAAAATAGGTTGTCTTATTTTAGTTTGTCTGCTTTATATATTTTTAAGTTAATTTATTCTAATTTGTTGGTATAATACATTCTCTTAATAAGCAGCAGAAATATTTGTAAATACTGTATATAAAATAATGTGCATTCCAAAAAATCTGGCATACTCAGCATTGTTCAGCGCAATGTACTGACGCTGCTGCAGACCTGCAATGCTGAGTAGGAATGCCAGTTTAGTTGCTCACCAAGTCACCTAGAAAATGCACGCACTTGTTTTGACACTGGTGGAAGTCTAGAAGACTATTATTGTACCATTGTGTGTGTTGACAGAACTGGTGAAATTACATACAGTAGTGGCATTGTGAAAACCAAAGCTCAATGCAAGTGATGTAGGCTTTGGTAGTTTACCCAAAATTTCCAAAAATCTTTATTTAATCAAACGTTGTACCCACAAAAATGAGTGAAAAATGTAAACAAGCATCCATACAATAATTTTTCACACAAAAAAAGTAATAAAACACACAGAAGAAAGTGCAACTTGTGCAAGTGATTCCACAAGTGATATTGACTGCGGAAAAGTAATTCCACAAGCTACTGTAGGGCTACGTTTAGTTATGTATCTAGTACTGAGGATGGGATGGATGGAAACTCTAGGTGGTGGTTTTCTTATATAAAATATATTATATGCAAGACAGTCTGGTGCTGGAGATGTCGTGTGGTGAGGAGCTTGTTCAGAAGACACGTTGGGTGAGTAGCGTGCTGGAGCTTTGTCAAAGGAGATGTTGCGTGTTGCTGGCCTCCAGGTTGAATGAGAGCTGGACAGAGAGGAGCTTGCTGAGAGGAGGTGTTGGATGAGGAGCTTGTAGTGGACGTCTCCCCTACAAACTAACTGCGTAGCAGCCCACCACCTGCTATCACATTCCAATGTGCCGCCTTCCCTAGCAACCAACCAGATGTTACCGTATCTTAGCAACGAAACTATTCACCGGCTACTTCTCGGGTTTTCCCACCATGACTCATAGCGGCTGTTGCGGGGTATATAAGCTCTGTCTCTCCCTTGAGATTCAGTCTGACCAATCTTCTTGAACAAGCAACACCTCCTCCTCTGCCGCTGCCTGGCGACCCTCGCCTCTCCTCCGCCTGCCTGGCGGTCCTCGCTCCCGCCA